AGCCCCCGCCTGCTCCCCGCCTGCGGCGGACCGTTTCGGGACCCCCAACTCGGAATTGCTCTGGGACTGCCAGGATTTCACCTGTAAGATGCAGCAAAAGACCGGTGCCAGCTGCCTGTACCCAGGATCTGTGTACTTGGCGTTTTGCACATGTTCTGCCATTCGCCTCCCACGGTGATTTTCACAGAATCCCAGAATCCCAGCCTGGTGGGGGTGGGAAGGGCCCTCTGGAGCTCCCCCATCCCACCCCCCGCCAGAGCAGGGGCACCTCCAGCAGTGGCACAGGACGGCTTCCAGGCGGGTTTGGGATGGCTCCAGAGGGGGAGACTCCCCCACCTCTCTGGGCAGCCTGTGCCACTGCTCTGCCGCCCTCACAGCAGAGAAGGCCCTCCTCAGGTGGAGATGGAACTGCCTGTGGTCACATTTGTGCCCGTTCCCTCTTGTCCTGTCACTGGGCACCGCTGGAAACAGACTGTTCCCATCCCCCCGGCACCCTCCCTTTGGGGATTTATAAGCGTTGCTAAGATCCCCCCTCAGTCTTCTCTTCTCCAGACTGAACAGCCCCACGTCCCTCAGCCTGTCCTCATAAGAGAGATGCTCCACTCCCCTCAGCATCTCTGTAGCCCTCTGGTGGACCCTCTCCAGCAGTTGGTACTGCCCCCGTAGCGGCAGAGTGATGCTGAGGTTCGGGGGTGCGGTGGGGTGGAGCAGCCTGGCGTTCCCCGGTGAGACCAGCCTGACTTACTCACACACCAGCCAAGACGTACCCTTCCTATGCGAGCAAGTTTTATTCCCTCCTGTCCAGACCTGCCTTTGTCAAACACAAGCGCGGGGAAGATCAGTGCCGAAAGGAGCTGCCGGACCTGTCGAGCTTTGCGGAGACGGTGGCTGGGGTGGGAAGGGGCGGCAGGCTTTGCTTGCCTCCTGCCTCCCGCGCACTGCCTTCCTCTGGCATCCAAAAATTCATCATTTGTGCGTCTCTTTTGAGCTAGTAACCTTGGCCTTGGCTCTGCTCACCCCTATGAGTTTATCGGCTTCAAAGGGACCCCACATACAGGCAAAACTTGGAGGAACAGATCGGGAATGACAAAATCTGAAGCCCCCATTCTGTTTTTTCTCACGCAAAATTTCTGTGGACTTCATCAGGATTTTCTCTCAAAGGAGAATAAGCCCCGTGTGAGCTGCTCAGGGTTTGGCCCTGGGCTGGTGGGTGGAGGTGGTAGCAAATCATTAGAAGCCTGAAGAGCAATTAGTGTTGCTGAGCGGACGGGCACTCACCCTGCGTAAGCACCCGGCTGGATCCTCGCGTGACTGTTTCTCACGGAGGACCTCAAAACTTTCAGGCGCGCGTTGGATGTCTCAGGGGACCCGCGGGGGACCTGAGCAACACGTGCAAGTGGAGTGGGTGAAGGAGCTCCCCTGTTAATGGAAATCAGCCCTCCTCCAGACCGGGTGGAGGTTTTGCCGACGGTTTGTGGTGACGTTCAGCTCCCCCGCGGGTCTCAGCCAGCAGCGGCAATGCCGGCGGCGGGTGAGCAGCCTGTTCCTGGGTGTGGGCGCAGGGTTTGGAGCTGTCGGTAACCCCGGGGCGCTCTCTGTTCCTCTTGCAGGTGAGCCCTCCCGCTGGTCCTCGTCCCACTGCGACTGCTGCTGCAAGAATGGCAAAGGCGACAAGGAGGGAGAGAGCGGCACATCGTGCAACGAGCTGTCCACGTCGAGCTGCGACAGCCAGTCGGAGCCCAGCTCCCCCCAGGAGACCGTCATCTGCGGCCCCGTCACCCGCCAGCCCAACATACAGACTCTGGACCGGCCGGCCAAGAAGGGGCCGGTGCAGCTGCTGCAGCAGTCCGAGATCCGGAGGAAGAGCGACCTGCTCCGGACTCTCACCTCCGGCTCCCGGGAGTCCAACTCCAGCAAGAAGAAAGCGGTGAAGGAGAAGCTGTCCATTGAGGAGGAGCTAGAAAAGTGTATCCAGGATTTCCTCAAAATCAAAATCCCAGACAGGTTTCCAGAAAGGAAACACCCCTGGCAATCCGAACTGCTGCGGAAGTACCACCTATAGGCTCAGGGTGGGGAAAGCACACGACCTTATTACCGTTAGGGCAAGATTCTAAGTGATATGAAAATAATTCCCAGTAATAATTATTTGTTGGGTCACAAAAAAAAAAAAAAAAAAAAAAAAAAGCATCTCTATAGTACTGCCTAATTTGCCTATTTCACCTTAACGTTTATAGTCATAGGGTAACGGTATTTTTCCGGTGGTGGAAGCACAATGACAAACGCTTTATTTGTAAACTCTGAGTCTTACACAAGCTGAATACCTTAAGGGCACAACCATACCGACAACAGGAGATGCTCATGTGCGGATGCTGCTGGTGCGGTGGGAACGTGGCACGGGAGCAGGCGGTGGCGGGGGGTGCCTGTGCACTGCATGCCTTCCGCCTTCTCCCCGTAGTACGTTTGTTCGGAGGGACGTACACAGCTCAAAGAAACAAGCTATGCCATGACAGTTTACCTTAAGCATGTGTATATATATATATGTGCATATATATATATGTGTGTATATATGTCTCTGTGTGTATATATATATGTATATATATATCAATATATATTGCTTAAAGATTTTCTGGCTCTCTCCTTATAACTGCACTTTCTCAGAAAAGAGCGTTTTTTAGCAGTCTGTGGATGTTCCGTTTCTTCTTCAGGTCTTTGAGGGTGGAACAGTAGAAACCCCTTCCGGCTGTCTCTCTCCTGCTCCCTCCCTCCATCCCCCCCTTCTCTGAGACACTGTAAACGCGTCTCAGTGGGGACCAGGGAACGGCGCGTGGGTCTTTGTTGCCGTCAGCAACATACTCCATTTGTTTTCGATGATCCTGTTCCCTCTGTGTCCTCCCCACGCCTCTTGTCATGTTTCTCAAGGCTCTGCGGTACCAGTGGGTTAACCGTGTGATGATCCCAGTTGGAAAGCTGTAGGAAATCTTTGGGGGCCGAGCCCGGTGGCCGGCGGAGTGGCCGTGCCGGTGAGGATGGATGGTTTCCGCAGGCTCCCCTGGCGCCTGTGCCAGGGAGAGCGGGCGCTGGGTCCTGTCCGGCACAGAAGCAAACACAACTGATCCGCCTAAGAAGCCTCGTTAGCGCTCTGACTGGCAGCGGATCCATCGCTGCAGGACGGGCGCAGTGCTGCTGCGGGGAGAAAATGGGGGAGAAAAGGGGAGAAAAGGGCGCTTCGGGAGAAAATGCAAACCCCAGAAGGAGGTACCCACAGTCCTCTCAGTGTCGGTACCGTCCGCAGCTGGTAGCGGGACGTTGGCCAGCCGTGTGTCCCAGCACCGTGTGTGCGCCGGCCGGGGAGCCGTGGGAAAGGCCGGTCCTGCGTGGACCGGAGCGGGGTCCTGCAGCCCACAGCCCCCCGGGCTCGGGAGCTCGGGGAAGGGGCCAGGGGGTGCATGAGCATGCCAGCGAGGACCGGAGAGTGCCCAGGAACTGGTGTCAGCAAGCGGTCGAAGGCGTAGGGCCAGCACAGCCCGGGGCAGGTACGCGTGGGAGGGAGGGCTCGGCGGGGGGGGGGCAGGAGCCTGGGAGAGCAACGGGCAAATGAATTGCTCCAGCTGAATTACTTTGGCCATGGCTGGGGACAAACCAGCTGGGGCATTTGAGATAAATTACTAGGTTTCTAAAAGCACGAGAAGGAGATTTTATATATATATATATATATATAAATGAAATGGGAAATGATAGTGCTGGTAACACAAAGCACTTTGGTCCTGACTTCTTTAGCATCCCGCGGGTTCCAGGGCTTCTTTCCCCCTCTTAAATTTCAGAGACTGCTGTGGGAGATGATGTCACGTATGCACAGATCATTTCTGGTGGTCTTCATGCAGTCTCAGGGAGGTGGTGTCTTTGTGCCTGCAGGACTCCAGCCGCCCACGCGCCTGGCTGGGGCATTTCTGGTTTGCCAGAAGAACCATGAGGTCTGCGGCGGTGCACAGGCAGAGGTTCGTACCCATCGCTCAGCTGCAGAGATAACGCAGGTGTTTATTGGTGAGGATTCCAATTTTACCAGCAAAAAAGGAAGCAATACCTGTCCAGAGTGATCTGTAAACATGAGCTGGCTGTAGGGAGGGGGAAAAACCCTCCCAGCAATACATCTCCCCGTCTTTGGAGAACAGGGCTTGGACGTGGCGGCTTGGCGTCATCTCTGCTGAGGCTGTACACGCGGGAAGCGTGCTGTTTCTTACAGAGGACGGGCAGCACGGGCGATGCGGAGTGGGGATGGTGAAACAGAGGGTCTGACCTGGGAAATGCTGGGCTGGGTGAGGAAAGCCAACGCTTCTTGGGACCGGGCTCTAGAACCAGTTCAGGTTTTAAGACATTCGCCCGCACCCGAGTTCAGGCATGGCAGTTGTGCACCCCCCGCTTACCTGCTCAGAAGCCATTTTCACATGGAGATCAATGTCTCGCACAAGATCCACCGATTTGGCTTCTCTTAGTTATTTGTTGCTTAATTTATAACATTTTTCTTTTCCTGCTCATCTTTCCCGCTGGCTCTGGCACCGAGCAAACGCAACGGGGAGCAGATAGGGCTCTCCCCGGGATCTCCAGCTGAGTACGCAGCTGGGGACGGAGCACCCCTCTTCCCTGGCAGAAGACTGCAGCTGAAACCTTGTCCTTTCCACCGCTCCGCATCACTCCCTGTCTCCTTTTAATATCAAAAATATTTGGGCTATAAAATACGTGAGAGAGTGGAAGAACAGGCGCTGGGGGTGTGTGTGGGGGTGTGTGAGTGTGTGTGTGTGTGTGTGTGTGTATGTGTGTTCCCAGACTGACGTTCAGGATTGCATGATGATTAATAACTGTAGAAAAATTAGACCAAATGAAACGCGCCCAAATGGGCTTGATTTATGTGGCCTTCATGTCTTCAGTTTGAGATGAAATGGTTATTACTCTCCAGTGCTACAGAAAGAAAGGTCTTAAACTTCGGTAATCACGGGCAGGCCAAACCCGCCGGGGAGCGCGGGGCTCACTGCTGGTTGGGCTGGAGGGGAGGCGGCGGCCGCCCCGGCGCGGGGGCACGCTCGTGTGCGCGGGGGCACGCTCGTGTGCGCGGGTCCCTGTGCGCCTTGTCGGCGGTGCTGTCAGCCCCACGGGCGGCGGGGGGTGTGTGAGTGCAAGGATGCTCCTGTGCAGGCGGTGAGCGAGGTGGGTGTTTGCACACTGAAGTGAGCACCCGCAGAGCCGAGCGCTGCACAGGGCTGAGCAGGGTCAGGAGCTCGTAGACCTGTCTTCATGGAACCGTAGAATGGTTTGGGTTGGAAGGGACCTTAAAGACCACCCAGTGCCACCCCCTGCCCTGGGCAGGGCCACCTCCCCCCAGCCCAGGTTGCTCCAAGCCCCGTCCAACCTGGCCTTGAACACCTCCAGGGGTGAGAAGGGGACCTCTGAGCATCCGTTACTGCTGCTCAAAGGTCCTCTTCTCTCCCTCCTTGCCTCGCTGCTTTTCTCTGGACCACCAATACCCCATGGCAAGAATCCCACCCCACCAAAGAGCCACACTTTGGGCAACTTCTTCTGTTGGGCACCGTCAGGCAGCCACAGGGCCACTACCCGGCACAGGACCCCGCAGCTGGCAGTGCCACTGGGGCCAGGGGTGGGCAGAGGATGGGGGCACCGTGGGATGGGGTGGAGAAACCGTGGCCAGGTAGAGAGAGGCACCAGGGAAATTGGAAACACTGCTCCACAACATCCCTGTAGTTCACACGTGGGCAGCAGCGGGTCAGGAAAGAGCAACTGAACCTTCTCCTGCCGGTGGTGTCCTCCCCGTACAGGCACCGGCGCGGTGATTTTCTTAGCACAGGAGGGTGATCTTTTAACTCTGGAAGATCTCTTCCCAAAAATACTATCATGCACAAATACATAAAAATAATGTCATGCACACGTACATATACTTATACCCATATATACGAGTACCTGTAGATATATCTAGCTAGCGAGATACATACCTGCACCTCGGGATGAGAGGCACACGCTTCTGCCTTTCTGGCAAGGTTGTTCTCCTCCGCCTGCAGGATGCGGCACCGCTCTCTGT